TGCTCACAGCTAAGACTGCCGCTGTCCATGGGCTCCCAGCTCACCACCCTCTGGCGCCTCCGCAGATCCTACCAATGTCCCTGGTTATATGGTCCTGTCCTATTGCTTTTCTCCAAGGATTTGTCTTTATTTTAGTTGTAATTCTCGTTTGGTCCTAGGACATCCTCTGCATAGCTTCTATTCACTCCGCCTCCATTTTCACATCCTCTATGCCTATCTTGTGCACAGCTGGGTTGCACAGGCCTTCCTGGTGCCCCAGCACCCTATAGCTCCTGTGGGTAACTGGATTGCACAGTCCCTTTGGGGACCTGGCTCTATGCCTATGTTATGGGCTGCTGGGTCTCACAGGCCTCTCTGGTGCATTAGCACCCTGAAGGTCCCACGGGTAAGTGGATGGCACAGTCCTTGCTGGGTTGCACAGGCCTCTCAGGTGCTTCAGCATGCCACAGGCCCCGTGAGTAACTACATCATGCAGTCCCTGCTGGGTCTCACAGGCCTTTCTGGTGCTTCAGCACCCCACAGGTCCCAGGAGTAACTGGATTGCACATCCCCTGCTGGGTCGCTCAGGCCTCTCTGGTGCCCCCACATCCTGCATGTCCCGCAGGCGGGCAGCTTGATAGCACCAGTCTCTCTAGGGCTCAAGCTTCCCACTGCTTTTGTGAACTACTGGACGCACAGGCCTCTGCGGAGCCCCAGGTCCCACCGCTGATGGTTGGGGAGTGCTGCTGCCCCATGGGGTTCTACTCCTGCTCAGTTTTTGTTGTAGTTTTTGGGGATGGGTCTCAGCTGCTGGTCTGTGCTTCTGTTGCCTGGAGATGGATGTCTGCTCCCTAGCCTCTGTTGCTGGGGTTATATCTTGATTCTGATCGGGCTGCTACTATGGGGAATGGTGCTGGGCTCTGGGCTGTCTGAGGCTTCCAACACCAGCACCTTGACAGCTCCACTACTGTGCACTGGCCTGTGTGGACACAGAGTGTTCACTGGTCCAATGGTGCCAGGTGCGCTGGTGGGCTCGTTGCTGGGCCCTAGCCACTCCCACTGCCTCCTCCCAGGGAAGACCCAGGATCTTCCAAAATGGTGAGACCCTCGAGGCACAGAGAAGAGCGCCATGAAGGGCCACTTACCACAGTAGCCGGCTACTCCTGTCCATAGCACAGGAACATTCTGCTCCACGTCTCTGCACTGCTTGGGTTTGGTCGTCCACCTTCGCGTCCACTCACACTCTCTCACACACTCGCTCACTCTCTCACACACTCACCCTCTTCTGGTCCTGCCTGCTGCCAGCATTGAGCACTTGTGACACACCCCATCACTCACAGTGATTTCGGTTAGAAAGCCTGGTTTCCTCCTGAGAAATTGGTATCAAAACCAATTTTGGATGGATTTTTAAATGCTCTTATGTTTGTGCTACAAATGCTCTGTAAGATGCAAAAGAACATGGAACAATGATCTGCCCTGTTATATTCTATCTTTTATTGTTCAAGTTCTTCAACACCTTTCTTGAGCTCCTGCGGTACATCAGCAGTGTGGTGGGAGCCTGGTGAGCTCAGGGGAGGGGCATGGTCCTCCTGAAGAGCTTCGGAATAATGAGGTTCTAATATGTGCCAAGGAAGTGAAACGAAGAAGGGAGAGTCACAGTGGGAAAATGAAAACATGAATTTCTAAAGAAAATGAGTATTTACAAAGGAATTTTCTGCTGAAATTTTTTATTATTATATATATATTTTTTTGTTACAGATGTTTCTCCTTTTTTACTCCATTGACATCCTCCTCCCCATCCCCCCCACCCCACCCTGTCTCCGGCTTTGTTGTCCATGTCCATTGGTTTCTGCATGAATTTTTATAGGAAAAAGTAGCAGTGTATGGAAGGAAGAAAGTTGTTAGAGATACTTCTGTTTGTTTATTCATTTGATGGTATATTCCTGTTCTGCTCCAGGGACTATGCTGGGCATTTGGGCAGGTGCAGTGTCTGCTAGGGATGCAGAGAGGTGACCATCAGGGCAGAGGAAGGACATCTAACTCAGACAGGGAACACAACAAAGGGTTCTTGGGAAGTCTGTCGTTTAGAAGCAATATCAGACTTCAGAAGCTGAAGCCATAGTTGAATAAGGTAGTAAAGGCATGGCATAGAAAAACGACATTGTGTCCCACCTCACTTTGTACCGACCCGTCACTAATCACTTGCCATGTGCAAAGGGACAAAGATAAGTGAGAGAATGAAAAACGGCAAGCAGTTCGGATTTGATTTTGAGTGCTCACTATATATGAGGCTTTATACAATGCCCTCTACACCCAAGCATCGAGCTTGAGAAGGTTGGAGTCCCACAAAAGGGGCTCTATCCCCAGCCCACCACTTACTAATTGTGCAACCTTGAACAATCCATGTAATGCCACCAGATCTGTTTTTCTTATCTGTAATACGAGTATGGTTTTGATACCAATTTCTCAACAGGAAACCAGGCTTTCTAACCGAAATCACTGTGAGTGATGGGGTGTGTCACAAGTGCTCAATGCTGGCTCTTTTTTTTATCCTCACCCAAGGACATTTTTTCATTCATCTTCAGATAGAACAAGAGAGAGAGAGGGAGGAAGAGAGAGAGAGAGAGAGAGAGACATTGATTTGAGAGAGACACATCAACTGGTTGCCACCCACACAACCCCAACTGGGACCAAGGAAAAACTGCAACCGAGGTACGTGCCCTTAACAGGAACCGAACCCGGGTCTCTCTGGACCGTGGGCCGACACTCTAACCCCTGAGCCAAACCGGCCAGGGCAATGTTGGCTCATTTTTATTACAACGTTTGTTTTGTTGATTCAGTGCCCTCCCAGAGGGAGCTATGGTTTCTCAATGTGCCCAGGTCACTGCTTGTGAGGGGAGGAGCCAGCCCTGCCTGGTTGCCTCACACATTAGGGGGTGGGTGTCAGAAATGAGGCTGGAGGGGAGGATAGACCAGATCTCAAAGAGCCTTGTGGTTCAAAGTGCTCAAGATGTTGAATTTTTATCACAAAGGGAATGGAGATCCCCTATAGGACCTTAAGGTTAAGATTGATAAGATTAGATTTCCATTTCAGGATTGCTCTGGCAGCAATGTGCAGGATGGTTTAGAGATGGGAGTGGCTGGGTTAGGAAGCTGTCTCAGTAGTCCAGAGAGAGAGCCGAGGACTGCGCCAGGCAGCAGCAATGGGTGGACAGGAACCGAGCATTTAGGTGGACAGGAGGGATGCAGTGGAAGGGAAGTAGAGGGAGGGAGTGGGAAGGATTTTGTTGCTCCAGGGTTTCTGGCTTCATTGACTGGGTAGGTGGTGGCAGCTTGGGCCAAGGTGGAATAAATGAAAAACTGTAACATCAACTACTGCTGAATTCCAGCCATATGATGCTGCTTGGTTAATGGTAAGGTGGCTGACACATTGGCTAGTCTTTCATGAAGAACTATAGAAACATACATTTAAAAGACTGGACAGTTATGCAAGATAGTTACTGCAATCTCATAACAAAGGTATTTCACCATAGGAAGAAACCATGATGTTCTCAGAATAGAAGAGAAAAAACAGTTACCCAAGACTGGGAGATAAGACTAGGTCAGCTTTTAAGAGGGAAGTAATTAGGTAAGAGGAAGAGGTAAAAATGAGTAGATACTCAGAGATGGGGGGAAAGCAGATTCAGAAATTCTGAGTTTAACTGGGGAGACAGGTAGGTGGGGATGTGAAGACATTGTGTTGCTTCCTCTGTGTAGATGTAAACACCTCAGGTCACAATACACAACTGTTGGAGCAGATACTCAGCGAGCGCCTGTGTGGCAGGTGAAAGGCTACCGCTGGAGGGGATGGAGGTGGCAGGACCCCATGAAGAGAATACAAGGTGCTAATTTAGATCGAGGGGTTACCAATCAGCACTTCCAGGCCTGTTCCCAGATGACCTACAGAGTGAAGGAAAATCAGGTGTGGTGTTTAGAAAGTTTGAGACTCACTGGTTTAAATGCTAAGTTTGCAAAACAACCAGGTACCTAGAAGAGATGGACTAATTCCAGGAGGCCAATGGAGAAAGGGGTGCAGGCTTTTCAAGGGAGGCGGCTGGCATGTTGTGTTTGTCAATGTTATTCTGGGGGAAGCTTCCAGATGTCAAAATGGTTGTTTTGTACTTGTAGGTACTCCCAGAGCAGTAGGGAATGAGAGAGAGCAAAGAAGGCAGGAGGCAAGTGTTGCATTAAACCACCCCAGCTCTTCCAAAGCCCTGTGCTCAGAGCGGGTCCAGAAACACGGCAGTGGTGCGCACAATCATGTCACCTGTTCTTTCTCAGACAGGAGACTACTGGGAATGAAACAGGGTGGCCCGAGGGCACAGAAGGAAGAAACTAGGGCCACCCTGTAAAATGCGGAGAGTGCTTTCTCCTGCTTGCCTTTGGGGATCTTCATATCCCCAGAAGAATTAGGACCATGAAGTCCTCGAAAAGAAACAGTTGTGAAATCATGACCAAGGAGATGTGGAGATGTGAGAAGGAGAAGCCTCTGGTCCCTGTCAACAGGACTTTTCCATTCACCTTGTGCTAAAGTCCCGTTGATTTCAATGGTTCTCGCTGGCAGAGAGCGGCTGGAACGACTGGGTTGGTGGCTTGAAATGTGGGTTTCTGAGAGAAAACAGAAGGTGAAAGGCCTGGCAGCACCTGGCGAGTGCAGACCCTGGCCCCGATCTGGGGCAGCAGAACCCGGACATCTAGCCAGCTTTCCGGGTGATTCTTGTGCCGATGCCACCTTCAGTACAGTAGATGGTACGGGTCCCAGGGAGCAGTCACCAAGCTAGCCTGATGACCTGGGTGCCCCTGGGCCCAACTCCAGGACCACTGAGTAAACTCCAGGTGTGAGGAGGACAGACGCCCTGTGATTGGCCTCCTGGAGCCCGGCCAGGCTTGGGAGCCACGGGCTAATGTCATATTCTTTAACGTGTGCTTTTATTGGACATTTCATATTATCTAATTCTTCTTCTCTTTTCTTTTTCTACTAGGCACTGGGAAATCATGAGTTTGATAACGGTGTAGAAGGTCTGATTGATCCACTCCTCAAAGAGGCCAAATTTCCAATTCTGAGTGCAAACATTAAAGCAAAGGGGCCGCTAGCATCTCAAATAGCAAATCTTTATTTGCCATATAAAAACCTTTCTGTTGGTGGTGAAATGGTGGGAATTGTTGGATACACCTCAAAAGAAACTCCTTTGCTCTCAAATCCAGGTATTTTTTATCCCCTACTTTTATAGCACCCCTTGCTTTAAAATAGATGCAGCAAATTAGAGTTTAACATTATTTTTAAGGACTGTAGATAGAAGGAGGGACAACGTGTGGTATTGGGCAAATGGTGTACTTAGGATGACATTGATAAAACCAGTCTGGTGGCTCCACCTTGTTCTAAGTTACTTCTTAAAGACATTTGCTCTTCTGCTCAGTGACTTTTAGTTGACAGTATCTTTGTTAAATACAGTGCATTCAGAATTGAAAGAGAAGTCCATTTAAATGCAGGGCTGAATGTTCAGAGTTAGTTACTGGAGAATGGAAGCCACATAATCATTGCCCTTCTTCCTATGAAGTCAGAGTGCTCAGAGCCAGGGTTCCGCCTCAGTTTACCTTATCTTTCCTTTTTTAGTATGATTATTACATGTCTAGTTAACTCTCCTTCCTCCTTCTGCCTTATTCATGTCTTGTAGTTTTAATGGCTTTATTGTATATGGCTTTCTGGGAAATGTGTATATATTCTTGAATGGTCTGATGATATATATATATCCATATATACATTACTATATATATATCTGTTACATCTACACATTTATGCACAAACATTCATATATAACCTTAAGACCATTCAAGAAACATTTCTGAGCCACTTTCATGAAAAGAAACACTTTCACCAAAACACTATTAGTGAGAAATTATGTTTTTTTCTAAATTATCCAAATTAATTTTTTTCCATATTTTAAGAGAAAGGGGAAACTAGGAGCTAGAGAAATAAGGATTTTCATCAAGAATTGACTGATACTCACACCTGTCAGAATGGCTATCATCAATAAGTCATCAAACAAGTGCTGGTGAGGAAAAGGGACCCCTTCTGCACTGTTGGTGGGAATGCAGGTTGATGCAGCCACTGTGGAAAACAGTGTGGAGTTTCCTCAAAAAGTTAAAGATGGAAGTGCATGCCTGGCTGGTTTGGCTTAGCAGTTAGAGCGTTGGCCCGCAGACCATAAATTCACAGGTTCAATTCCGGTCAAGGGCACGTTCCTCAGTTGCAGTTTGGTCCCCAGCCCTGGTTGGGGTCCTGCAGGAAGTAACCAGTCGACGTGTCTCACTCACGTCAATGTTTCTCTCTTTCACTCTCTCTCTCTCTCTTCTCTCTTTCTCCCTCCCACTCTGTTTGAAAATAAGCGGAAAAATATCCTTGGGTGAGGGTTTAAAATAAATACATACATAAAAATTAAATGAAAACTGCTTTCAGCAGTTTATATTAGAAAAATAAATAAATGAAAATGGAACTGCCCTATGACCCATGATTCTGCTTCTGGGAATATATCCAAAGAAACTTGAAACATGAATTTCGAAGAATATATGCACCCTTATGTTCATAGCAGCATTATTTACAATAGCCAAAATTTGGAAACAACCCAAGTGCACATCAGTAGATGAGAGGATAAAAAAGCTTTGGTACATTTACACAGTGGAATACTACTCAGGTATAAAAAAGGAAATCTTTTGTGACAGCATGGAAGAGTATTATGTTAAGTAAGCCAGTCAGAGAAAGATAATTACTATATTATTTCACTTATATGTGGAAAGTAATGAACAAAATTAATTAACAAACAAGACAGAAACAGACTCATAGATACAGAGAACAGACTGACAGCTGTCAGAGGGGAATGGGGCTGGGTGAAAAAGGTGAGAGGATTAAACAAAAATAAAACAAAACACATAGAACCAACAACAGTATGATGATTACCAGAGAGAAAGAGGGGAAGGGAGAGGTAGAATAAAGAGGGACTAAATGGTGATGAAAATGTATATGGGTAGTGAACACACAATACAATATATTGCGTTATGTATTATAGAATTGTACACCTGAAACCTATATAATTTTATTAAACAATGTCACCCCAATAAATTCAGTAAACGTAAAACATTTTTAAAAGAATTAACTGATAGAGGAGATATAATTATTTAGCATTTAGAAAAACAATATATTTATTTTTGTTAAAATAGGTCCAGACCATTGGAAACAATAGAAAGGTCAGCTGTACCTGACCCTGAGTAGCATGGCTGTTCCTGAGGGGAGAGGGTCTGCAGCCACTTGGGGCAGGGCCAGCATGGGGCTTGGCTGCTCTCCACTGAGGGAGGCGGCAGGTAGACAGCTGGTTCACAGGTGCCCGAGCCTTTGCACACTGAGTGACACAGAGTTAACAGCTGTTGTTGAGGTCATTGTGGAGCCAGAGGGTGGTGTACAAGTCACTGGCCTTTGAAATGTTTTAGAAATGCTCTTCTAAGAAGAATGTGGCTCCACCAGAAGGCCTGCCTGATAGTCTCAGGCTGCTCCCATCCCAAGGGATGTGTTTTAGTCTTGTCGGTCTTTGAAGGGATGAATACTTTTTTGAACTGGAGCTTTCAGGATCCTAGGTTTTGAAAGTTCTTTACCAGATATTATTCATGTTTTGGCAATTTCATTAGAGTGATTATTCTCAGAAATTTTGCATACAGGAGTCTAGATAATCTGGAGGACTCCCTTGTGACCAAGTGCTGGACATGACTTCAGGGCAATGTATCTGTCTGTGTTTGTTCTCTGTGCAAATGAAAGCCAAAGACCTCAAGGCTTGCTGAGACTTGGCTATAGAGACAGAGACTGGTGGTCTTGCCACACTTAGCAGCACATGTTTGCAGCCCACAGAACGCCCAGACTGTGCAGTCATATCCATACTCGCCAGCCAGTGCCGAGGAGCAATGGTCTGTTACACTGTGTGGAGAGTAGGCAGCCAGTGAGCATGTGCACACTCCCAGCGCAGCAACAGTCAGACAGGACCCTGTCCACTGCGGAGCTCAGTGACGCTCTCACGCTGACCTTAGCAAGTGAACAGAGCAGAGTTGTCAGCTGGCATGTTAAGACTGGCATTCAAGTTGCTGACAGAGTTATAAGTTTAAGACTGATTATCCTGAACTTGCAAACAAAGTCTTAGAATTATTCATCTGTTTTGTACTTTATGCTTATTGTGCCCAGGCATTTTCTGCATTGGTATAATAGAAGTCTAAATACAAAAAAAGAAGAGAAAAAAATAGCTTACAGGTGTGAAGCCTCCTCATCATTTGAACTTGAATTTGAGCAACAGAATATAATCCACAACCTTAACTAATGCAGCATTAAGTGAATGTAACTGAGAATCATAACCTTATGGGGGGAGTGGAGGATGACTTTTTAGTGATTTTATATTTAATTTAAAAATACGTGTTGGCCTTAGTCATTTAAGAGCTTTAGCAGATTAAGGTGTTTTCAATTGGCATGTTAGTGTGTACAGTAAGTAGTATCATAAAAAGTATTGTTAATAAATATCCATTTTATTTGTTTTGTTCCCTCCAGGAAAAGATTTAGTATTTGAAGATGAAATCACTGCATTGCAACTTCAAGTAGATAAGCTAACAACTCTAAATGTGAACAAAATTATTGCACTGGGGCATTCTGGGTTTGAAATGGATAAACTCATCGCTCAGAAAGTGAAGGGCGTGGACGTCGTGGTGGGAGGACACTCCAACACATTTCTTTACACAGGTAATTTTTTCTAAAGGATTATACCAGCCAGGATGTCTATATATCTTAGTTTCTTTTGCCTTTGCAACTGTTATTATCTTTACTACTATTTAACATATTATAGAAATTATATAATATATAATATATATGTAATACACATTGAAAGGTAACATATACAAATCTTATTCAAAGAGACACTACAAGAATAATTTATTGTTTTCATGATTATGTCAATTCCATTTATGTATATTGTAAATATATATAAAACACATGTATAGATATATATAAAACAAAAAGAATACTGAGCCCCAACCAAAAGTCAGTTTATATCAAAAAGCTACATGTCATATAAAAATGTTGAAGCATAAACAGTGTAAATAAGGCCTTCACAGCTGAAAGTGACAGGACTTGATTTGTAGGTTCACAGGTAGCAGGAGCTGGAACCACACCACAGCCCTCTAGAGAGTTCAAGCTCTCCTCTCCTCCTCTCGTTCCCTCCTCCCTCTCCCTCTTCTGTCTCTCACCTCTTCTCCCTCTCTCATGCTCTCTCCCCCTCTCTCCATTAACCCTCTTTCTCCCTCCCTTTGTCAATGTAAGATTCAAAACTGTAGAGAATTTCTGTAAGAATTTATTGGAGCCAAACTAAGGACATATGCCAGGGAGCAAGATTTTAAATGCTCCGGAGAATAAGAGTTTTGCCATTTCTTTTATGCACTTGAAATGATGCACTTGGTGGGTTTTAATTTCCAATTGGTTGATTTTCATTGTTTCTATATCTTTACTCATGCTGTTGAGCTTCCTCATAATCATTACTCTGAACTCTACCTCTGATAAGTTGCTTAACTCCATTTCATTTATCCCTTCTTCTGTAGAATTCTCTTGTTCTTTCTTTTGGGATGTTTCTTTGTTTCACTATTTTGGCTGTCTCAGCAGGGTTTGGAGCCTGACAAATTTTTCCTGTGAGTTTCAGTGTTCTGCTGATTGTGGCTCCCTCTGCTGGGAAGAGACCACACTAAACACCAATGTCTAGTCTTACTTTCCTAAATAGAGTTTCAGGCTAAGGAAAGATTCAATTATCCCAGAGCTTTTGCCTGAAGGCTATTAGTCTCAGTTACTTAATAAGCCTCAGGTTGTGGCCCTCAGCTGAATAAAAAAAATTTCACAGGTGGCCAGGGTAAGAGGATTTCCAGTGGGTGGGGCAATTTTTTCCCCTGGGCTAAAGTTGCTTGGAGAAGAAAATGGTTTTTGTACTGTGAGTTATTGGCTCACACAGGGATGCAGGCCTTAGCCTTCATAACTCAGTCCCCAGAGCCAGGACCCCCAACACTGAGAGCAAGGTCCAAAGCACAAAGCTTTCAGAGGATCTTCTCTGCCTACTGGCTGACAGGTAGTCTCTGGCTGTTAATGAGCCTCAGGTTGCACTTCTCAGGATCCGGTGGTATTAAATTCCCAAGGGAAGGAAAGTTGCTTCTCCCCTGGGTTAAAGCCACTCTGGGAAGGGGCTCTTTTAAGGGAGATGGCTACTGTCTTGTGGGGGAGTGACTCAGCATAGAGTTCTTGATGGCCTCCTTCCCAGCTCTCGCACCAGTGCCATGAACCCCTAAGTCTCCTCACACAGTTCCAGTCCAGACTGACCTCCTTCTGCTGGAGCCCAAAGTGAGTGGCTGTAGCTATAATTTAGTGCACTGGCCCTTCAGGGAAGTGCTGATGTTCCCTGTGTCTCTCCCTGCTGGACAAAACCTCTGCTTTGGTGATTTTCTCAGCCAGGTGTTATGAGGACATCTTTCCCTGTTCTGCCACTCTATGCTGGGGAGCCGGTTTGTGGTTCCACAGGACTCCAGCCCCTCTGTTCAGATGCTGAAGTCACTCCCAGGTTCCTCAGGGCTTATGTTTACATTACCTTAATCAAGGCCCTCTCACAGCACCACTGGTCATCCACAGCCTTGATGTGTGGCCATCAGTTAGTGTGCCCTGCTGCATCTGAAAAGGGTGTGTGGCTATGCCTGGCTTTCCATTAATTCTGCAGCCTGACCTTTTATTCTTGTCCCTTTGTTCCAGCCAATGAAGTCCTGCAAAATAGTATGTGCCTATGCTTAGTTGAATGTGGTTAATGATGAATGACTAGATGAAAGGAAGATGTGTGGGTAAAAAACATAATTTGTTTGTCCATAGATCTTGAAGTAGATAGTTACAGTCTCTGAAAAAAACAAAACAAAACAAAAAAAAACTGCTTCTAGAGTCTTAATAATCTATTTCACATTCCCTGACTTCTTAGCAGGATCAAACCTGTTCTTGTGAAAATATTCTATTTGGACACTCATCATTTTGAGGAGTGAGCTAATAGAAGTAATAAGATAATTCCTGGACACAATAAGGGGTGAGGCATACTTGCTTGTTTAAATATATTTTTCCAGGCTTAAAACAAAACAAAAACCCACCTTCATTGCATTGAATTGAATTAGCATAAAGTTAAGTTAAAGTGAAATATTATTAGTTAATAAAAATGCAGTTAAAAAGAATACATCTCTCGGATTTTAAGTCTTGCTGATAATCATTACAGCCCATACATGGTAGGTACCTGCCACACACACACCTGAAAGAGAATTTCACAAAGCATCTGGACTGCACCCAATATTTTTTATATTTTATTACTTAATTTTTAAAATGCTGGTTACCAACTGTTAAATTAATTTTATTGTGTTGTAGCTGGCTCATATTTTTGAAAACTCAGTTTTAGTGTGGGGTTAAGTTGAAGCCTGAAAGTATCCATTTGACCCCATAAGCTAAGGGGTCAAATATATGGTGACGAAAGAAGACTAGACTTTGGGTGGTGAGCACACAATGCAATATACAAGATGATGTATTCTAGAATTGTACATTTGAAACTTATGTAATATTAATAGCCAATGTCATCCCAATAAGTTTAGTTTTAAAAAATAAAATAATAAAAAATTTTAAACTTCAGTTTTAAATGAGTAATGACAAAAACAGTACAGAAACAGCTCCTCTCCCAATGTTGAACATCATTCTTGGTGCTTTTGATTACAACCACTGTGCCCATGCCGTCATATCACCTGTCATGTCTGAACCGAGAGGATGGAGCTTCTCCCCACCAGGTTTACAAAGTGTTCAGACTGCCAGGACCAGGGCTAGTATGCATATGTCTTCTCTGACGGAATTAAATTTATGTTGTTTCCTTTGGAGAAAAAAGTAGTAAGTGAGAGCACATTGAAAATGGCAGCAGGTGCTCCAGGGGACTCGGTTCTGTGCCAGCCCTTGAAGGCAGACAAACTCCTAAGATGCTGTCTCTGTGTTTGCCTCCCACTATTTTAACTTACTTTTGGATTATACAAGCCAGTCAGCCAGTCTGGCTGACTGTGGCCTTGGGTGAGTGTAGACATCAGTTTCTCTAGCTGTAGAATAATGGGGTTAGGTATGGTGCATCTGTGATCCTTTCCATTCTAACATCCTGTTCCCTAGAAAGTCATCCACATGAAGAGCCTGATTGCTTACTCTCCAAAATTTGGGGAAATAAAACATGTTGTGGTGGAACACTCTATAACTTATTGAGGTTACTGCAATGAATTTAATTTTACCTCTTATTTCTTTGAGGCTCACACCTCCTGCCTACAGCACCCTGGCCCTCCCTATCACCACCACCTAATGGCCTCCACGCCACTCCCCAGCATAACTGAGAATTTAGCACCCAACTTCCTTTCTTCCTGTCCACTCCAGCTCCTGCTTTCACCGGGCTGAGTGTCCATGTGGATGACCAATCCAGTACTCAAGGTTGAGAGCCCCTTGGTCCCTGTGACTGTCTCCTCCACTCCTTTGGAGTGCCTTCGTTTCTAGGGTCTCAGGATGAGACTTGCTCATGTCGTCATCCAGAATTGCTCCATCTTCAAACACCACGACCCACCTCCCTCATCGCAGCCTCGTAGCCTTAAAGCTTCCTCACGCCTTGTCCTGTCATGAGCTGGCCGCTTTCCGCCTTACTGAAACCTCAGTCTCACCAACTCCTCTTTCTTCCCAGGTCAGCGGGCCTCACTTCTTCCTCATTAGCCTGGGAGTGTCCCTTACAGGCTTGACCTTGTCTGTGACTGCCACACGGAAGGCAGGTGCCCAGGATTGTTGAATGACTGTCAACAGATGCAGCTCCTTTAAAAGCAAGATTTCTTTATTTGATCAGTCTCTTTACCAAGCACCTACTTTTCATTGCTTCTGGATTTCAACACCCATTGGTTGAATATGAAATTCAAACCTTTCATTGACATAGAGAACATAAATGAGTTTAATGAGCACAGAATTTTGTTCTCAAAGTAAATGCCATTTACAATGCAGATATAAGTAAGGCAGACCAAAAACACCCAAGGCTGGTTCTTCCCGCTAGAGCCAGTGGCCAGTTCCAGGCACAAAGGAATGGGCCCCTCCCTGCCTCAGCAGGGTAAGCGAGGGAGGGAGAAAGACTTTGTTCACAATCACTGTTCATCTCTCCTTTAACTTTCACTCTTGTAGTCGAGATGATCTTGTCTTTTAGAAAAAGAAAATGGTCTTATTTCCCACATCCACAGGACAAGGAGACACTCTGACAAAGATCTGTTCCTTCAGGCATCAGTGAGGACCGCTGTGGGCTGTGGCTTATTCCATCGGCTGAGAGAAGCAGCCAAAGGGCAGGTGTGTGGCTCACAGCTTCAAAGATGATGCCTTGGTGGCACAGAAACTTACCCATTTCAGGGGTCGGCCCTTCACTCGGGGCCTTTCAGTCAACTTCTAGCCATATCCCAGCCTCAGCAACAGCTTACTTCGTGGAGCAAAGCCTCTGGTTAGTGAATTTTGCAGCCACATAACACTGGTCAGTTTTAGCTATGTCCCATGAAACTGTTTTCCAAGATAAAGTGGGGCTGGCCAAACCCAAAACTTAATAAGTGCTACTATAAAATGAAGTCAACGTGAATGAACAGGGTTGAGCTATAGGAAACTGATGGCCAGCTCTTGTGTAATCATAAACCCAATCCCACCAC